GAGGGGAGTGGAGCGGGGCGAAGGGGAGGGGAGTGGAGTGGAGCGGAGGGGAGTGAAGCGGAGTGGAGTGGAGTGGAGAAGAGTGGAGTGGAGTGGAGTGGAGTGGAGTGGAGTCGAGTCGAGCGGAGCGGAGTGGAGTGGAGTGGAGCGGAGCGGAGTGGAGTTGAGTGGAGCGGAGTGGAGCGGAGCGGAGCGGAGTGGAGTGGAGGGAAGGGGAGGGGAGTGGAGCGGAATGGAGTGGAGTGGAGCGGAGTGGAGTGGAGTGGAGTGGAGTGGAGTGGAGTGGAGTGGAGTGGAGTGGAGCGGAGCGGGGTGGAGCGGAGCGGAGCGGAGTGGAGTGGTGGAGTGGAGTGGCGCGGAGTGGAGTGGAGCAGAGTGGAGCGGAGTGGAGTAGAGAGGAGCGGAGTGGAGCAGAGTGGAGTGGAGTGGAGTGGAGTGGAGTGGAGCGGAGTGAAGCGGAGCGGAGTGGAGTGGAGTGGAGTGGAGTGGAGTGGAGTGGAGTGGAGTGGAGGGAAGGGGAGTGGAGTGGAGTGGAGTGAAGCTGAGCAGAGTGGAGTGGAGCAGAGCGGAGCGGAGTGGAGTGGAGTGGAGTGGAGTGGAGCGGAGTGGAGCGGAGTGGAGTGGAGTGGAGCGGAGCGGAGTGGAGTGGAGGGGAGTGGAGTGGAGTGGAGTGGAGTGGAGCGGAGCGGAGGGGAGCGAAGTGGAGTGGAGCGGAGTGGAGCGGAGCGGAGTAGAGTGGAGCGGAGCAGAGTGGAGTGGAGTGAAGTGGAGTAGAGTAGAGTAGAGTAGAGTAGAGTAGAATAGAGTAGAGTAGAGTAGAGTAGAGTAGAGTAGAGTAGAATGTCATGTCATATATTAGAGTAGAGTGGAGTGGAGTGTCCTATACTAGAGTAGAATGTCGTAAAGTGACGTAAAGTAGAGTAGAGTGTCGTAAAGTGTTATAGTGTAGGGTACAGTTGACTAGAGTAGAGTAGAGTGGAGTGTCATAGAGTAGAGCGGAGTGTCATAGAGTAGAGTAGAGTGTCATAAAGTGTCGTAGAGTGTCGTATCGTGTCGTATCGTGTCGTATAATAGAGTACAGTAGAGTGTCGTAAATGAGAGTAGAGCGTCGTAGACTAGAGAACTGTAGAGTAGATTGTCATAGATTAGATTGTTGTAGAGTAGAGTAGAGTAGAGTAAACAAGCGTATAGTATAATATAGTACAGTAGAGTAGAGTATCATAGAGTGTCGTCAAGTAAATTACAATAGAGTATCGTAGAGGAGAGTAAAGTGTCCTAGAGTAGAGTAAAGTAGAGTAGAGTAAAGGAGAGTAGAGTAGATTGTCGTATAGTAGAGTGAAGTAGAGTAGAGCAGAGCAGAGTAGAGTAGAGTAGAGTAGAGTAGAGTAGAGTAGAGTAGAGTAGAGTTGAGTAGAGTAGAGTAGATAAGAGTAGAGTAGAGTACAGTAGAGTGTCACGGAGTAGAGAAGTAGAGTAAAGTGTCGTAGAGTAGAGTAGAAAAGAGTGTCGTAGAGTGTCGTAGAGTGTTGTAGAGTGTCACAGAATACAGTGGAGTCTCGGAGAGTAGAGTATAGTCTTGTAGAGTAGAGTCTCGTAGAGTAGAGTCTCATAGAGTGTCGTAAAGGAAAGTGTCGTACAGTGTGGTAGAGTAGAGTAAGAGTAGAGTATAGTACAGTACATTGTCGTAGAGTGTCGAAGAGTAGAGTAGAGTCGAGTGTCGTAAAGTGTCGAAGAGTACCGTAGAGTGTCATAGAGTAGAGTAGAGTGTCGTCGAGTAGATTACATAAAGTGTTGTAGAGGAGAGTAGAGTGTCGTTGAAAAGAGTAGAGTATCGTAAAGTAGATTGTTGAAAAGTAGAGTAGAGGGTCGACGAGTAAAGTAGAGTAGAGTGTCATACAGTAGAATAGAGTAGAGTGTCGTAGAGTAGAGTGTCATAGAGTAGAGTAGAGTGTCGCAGAGTAGAGTAGAGTGTCATAGAGTTAAGTAGACTTTCATAGAGTAGAGTACAGTATCATAGACTGCCGTAGAGTACAGTGTCGTGGAGCAAAGTAGAGTGTCCTAGAGTGTCTTAGAGTAGATTAGAGTGTCGTAGAGTAGAGTAGAGTAAAGTGTCGTAGAGAAGAGTGTTGTAGAGTAGAGTGTTGTATAGTAGATTAGAGTGTCGTAGAGTAAAGTAAAGTAGGGTGTCATAGAGAAGAGTAGAGTAGAGCATCGTAGAGAAGAGTATAGTAGAGTGTAGTAGAGTTTCTTAGAGTAGAGTAGAGTGTTGTAGAGTTTCTAAGAGTAGAGTAGAGTGTAGTAAAAAAAAGTATAATAGAGTAGAGTAGAGTATAATAGAGTAGAGTAGAGTGGGCATAGTAGAGTAGCGTGTCGTATAGTAGAGTTGAGTAGAGTAGGTTGTCGTATAGTAGCGTAAAGTAGAGTATAATAGCATAGAGTGTCGTAGAGTAGAATAGAGTGTTATAAAGTAGAATAGAGTAGAGTAGAGTAGAGTTTTGTAGAGTGTCGTACTGTGTTGTAGACTATCATAGATTACAGAATAGTGTCGTAAAGTAGGGTAGAGTATTGTAGACTGTAGTAGAGTAAAGTAGAATAGATTGTCATTAGGTAGAGTAAAGTAGAGAGTAGCGTAGAGTAGAGTATGATAGCATAGAGTGTCGTAGAGTAGAATAAAGTGTTGTAGAGTAGAGTAGAGTAGAGTAGTGTAGAGTAGAGTAGAGTAGAGTAGAGTAGAGTAGAGTTTTGTAGAGTGTCGTAGTGTGTCGTAGACTATCATTACATAATAGTGTCGTAGAGTTGAGTGTTGTAGAGTGTGGCATAGTAAAGTAGAATAGATTGTCGTTAGGTAGAGTAAAGTAGAGTAGAGTATAGTACAATAGAGTGTAGTAGAGTAGAGTGTCGTGGGGTATCGTAAAGTAGAGTGTCGTAGAGTAGAGTAGAGTGTCGTGGGGTATCGTAAAGTAGAGTGTCGTAGAGTAGAGTAGAGTAGAGTAGAGTACAATAGAATAGAGTGTCGTAAAGTAGAGTAGAGTAGAATAAAGTGTCGTAGAGTGTCATAGAGTAGAGTAGAGTGCCGCAGAGTAGAGTAGAGTGTCGTAGAGTAAGGTAGAGTAGAGTAGAGTAAGAGTAGAGTAAGTAGAGTAGAGTAGAGTATAGTAGAGTAGACTGTCGTAGAGTGTCGAAGAATAAAGTAGAGTCGAGTGTCGTAGAGTGTCGAAGAGTACCGTAGAGTGTCATAGAATAGAGTAGAATGTCGTCGAGTAGATTACATAGTGTTGTAGAGGAGAGTAGAGTGTCGTTGAAAAAAGTAGAGTATCGTAAAGTAGATTGTTGTAGAGTAGAGTAGAGGGCCGACGAGTAAAGTAGAGTAGAGTGTCGTACAATAGAATAGAGTAGAGTGTCGTAGAGTAGAGTAGAGTGTCGCGGAGTAGAGTAGAGTGTCATAGAGTTAAGTAGACTTTCGTAGAGTAGAGTAGAGTGTCGTAGACTGTCGTAGAGTACAGTGTCGTGGAGTAAAGTAGAGTGTCATAGAGTGTCTTAGAGTAGATTAGAGTGTCGTAGAGTGGAGTAGAGTAAAGTGTCGTAGAGAAGAGTGTTGTAGAGTAGAGTGTTGTATAGTAGATTAGAGTGTCGTAGAGTAGAGTAAAGTAGGGTGTCATAGAGAAGAGTAGAGTAGAGCGTCGTAGAGAAGAGTAGAGTAGAGTGTAGTAGAGTTTCTTAGAGTAGAGTAGAGTATTGTAGAGTTTCTTAGAGTAGAGTAGAGTGTAGTAAAAAAAAGTGTAATAGAGTGGCGTAAAGTGAACAGAGTAGAGTAGCGTGTCGTATAGTAGAGTTGAGTAGAGTAGATTGTGGTATAGTAGCGTAGAGTAGAGTATAATCGTGTAGAGTGTCGTAAAGTAGAATAAAGTGTTGTAGAGTAGAGTAGAGTATAGTAGAGTGGAGTTTTGTAGAGTGTCGTAGTGTGTCGTAGAGTATCATAGATTACAGAATAGTGTCGTAGAGTATAGTATAGTAGAGTGG